ATAACGCTTATAATTATTTAGATATCGAAGTATTCCAAGTTACCTGCAGTATCCCAAATATGCTGCAGTTCCTCTATAGGTATTTAGATTACAGCGTTGTGTAATAATAATTGCTATATTTAGGTACAGAAGAGCGAAACTTTATACAGCAATACGCTTAATTATTTTATTACATATCATAGGAAACGGTAAAAAAAGTGATTATATTAGGATGCTATGCTACTGTAGGAAACGACAACACGAACGAAGTACTTGCAATAACACGTCGTAACTTATACATATATGTATGTACCTACCCTAATACCTATGGTTTGTTGAAAAAATGTTAAGGAATCTTGTATAAGTATATATTCCTATTTTTGATAGGGAGCCGACACATTTTAACTAGTTTATTAATTAGTACCATTGAATTAGTATCTAGGAATTTAAAGATATACAAATGGATAAACTATTTATTACATCTTTGAAATATATGATCTCTGTTAAAGTGTGTTAGGTCTTGCAATTAGACCGTTATTTTTAAATAATCCCATGCCCAATACCCGATTGGAGGCTCAAGCCAATAAAAATTCATAAAAAATAAGAGGATGGGTTATTACCGGTTTTCTCATTAGTCTACTTGTCTACTTAAAATAATATTAATATATACCCAGGTGTCCAGGTAGGCTGTACTTTCATACCTACACATGTACGTATGTAATATTAGGTTGGTACGTAAATACCAACGGAACAAGTGATTGTTTTTTTCTTCTTTTTCCTTTTTAATTGCTGGTCATAAGCATGAGAAGCGGTTCGGTTCGTAAAACAAATTAAATATTTGAGAGCCGACTGGAATTACAAGTGAGCAAGCAGAGAGTAGAGAGCTAAGAGCAGAGAAACCATTAATTGGTCGATGTTTGTCATCCACCTCTGTAAACAGCAGTTAGAGAAAAAATCGACTCATTAAAACCGACATCTTATTCACTTAATGTGCGTAGACAATTGCACCATTGTTGGAAACAACTGCTATATTAACAGAAACATCTGATGAATATTTATGAGAATTTTTTTTTTGAGGAGGGTCGACGAACAACAGACCATTCGGAAAGAATGAGGTGTTCACACTCAAATACTACAAGATATTCAGTTACTTTACATTCTTGACGCTTTCCTTGCTTATTATTTACGACAAGACAAAGTAGAAAATCATTCTTTTCACTTCAGGGATTTAGTAAGTATAAACAAGTCGCTAACCTATTTAAAGATCTTCCCTTGCACGCACCCTCGATCACTAATACATTAGATAAGTATTAATCAGCAGGAAGGTGAAAGGTTGTGGTACATCTTTTGCAATTAAGTTATTTAATTATGCACCTACATATGTATCCTATATGATTTTCGTGCGTGTACGTGATGGCTTCTTGTAGAAATAAAATGTAGACCATCACCGACGAGCACCCATCGACCATGGCCATGGTGGCGATGGCCAGTCGATTTCTTAGTCGGTGCCGGTAGGAGGGCGGGCGAGGCTAGTGCCCGCCCCACGACCGCCCGTGTTTTTTGTTTTCGTTCTTGCATTTCGGCTCCTTGACAAAGCCCTGGGCCTTTTTCATGTCGGCGCCTTTGACTCAACGAAAGCACCGACTTGCACTAACCACTCGACAAACGAGCAACGATTCGCCTCTCGACATCGTGTCTCGATCCCGATCGTCCGTCACACTAGCGAGTGCACAGAGTGCCCCGACTTTAGTCTCACGCTCGCCACACTTTGTATTTCTTCTTGTCCTTCTATGCTCTATGGTGATGATACTCGGTTCTTCGTTTGGAGTACGAATTAAAAGAACCAAAGGGACTTACCCCAATAACCACAACAATTTAATAAACTGAGGACATGTCTTCGCTTCCTCAGCGCAAGACACAATATGCTCATAATGTGAATGAGCCAAACACGTGTCCGCAGTTTATTAAATTGGTGTGGTTATCGAGGTAATTTTATAATTTCCATCCTTAGAGAATATATATCAACATGGAGAGCTAATGCTTATCCTAATAACATTGTAGTATACATTCGTGTGATAGGCCCAGCTATTCAAAATCTTAGTCGGTGAAAGTACCCTGTTTTCTTCAGTGTTATTACTATCTACTGTCCAAAATTTAGGATGGCTTCAGCGAACGGATGTATCTAATTGTAAAATAATTAATTTGTCGGTATTTAAAGAGAAAATTAGGATGTTTTTGATATTTGATAAAGGATTTTTTTCGATTAAAATGATATATTGAATTTATTTATCGATAATAAATATTCGATTCTCATACGTGATTTGAAAATATACTCTTCAATCGGCACTTCCATCATCGACTGGGGTTTTGAATAGCACACCTATCACACGAATTATTATTAGGGTAAGAATAAAACTATAACTTTAAAACTTTTGGGTGTTTCATTCCCACCAGCCACTAATGCTGGTGGGCGGGCAGTCCCTCCGGACTACGTCGGAATGTAGGACAGAAGGCCCTCTTCAGCCTCCTTTCAGGGATCATGGGAATGGTTGGGTACTGGTTTGGGTGAGAAAGATGAGATGGGCGAAACAAAGACAGAAGAGAATGAAAGATTATCTGTGGAATATTACTATTCCTGCATTTGCCTAACTGATCCAAGGAAACTACAGAAAAACTTGGACCAAGGCAGATGGACCCGGAATCGAATCGGCGTCCTCCCGAATGCTAAGCAATGAACTAAATCTCTAGGTCTAGGCCATGCCGCTCGGTAGGGTAGACATTAGCACTCCACGTGTACTTACATGCTCTACGAAGTTTTCATGTCACAGTCTCCTTTTCTATATTAGAGTATGGGTGCTCAAGATGAATTCTCCTTGCTTTTCACGAGACCATATCAGGGACATTTGAAATATTTTTGGAAATTAATAGTTTTAATTATTCCGTGTGAGTAATACAGAATTGATGAAATACGACATAGGTGAATCATGATAACCATGCTATTATGGGAAGAATGTCCCTCTCTCACTGAATAGTACTATTGGAACACTTTATGAATATAAAAGGCAAGATAATCTAACCTAACGTAACATTTTTCTACTGTGTAACATTAGGGGAGGGTGGAGATTCACGGTACCCAGGACTGAATTAAACTAACCCAATCCTGTACCCGATCGGATCTTAAAAAAAGCATTGGATCCGCCGGGTACCGGATCCAAACAAGGTACATGACCCAACCCTACTTCTTTCATAATTTTATAATGTATTAAACTTTTACCTCCGTTTAGCCCCTTGCGGGGTAGTATTTTTGAAATCAATTTTATAGTGGACAAGGAATTTTCTTGCAAAATTTAAAGCTTTCTGGCTCAGTGGTTTGAGATGATGTGTAATGTTAGCCTATTAGAATTAAGAGAAGTTTATGTTAAGTTGTTTGTCAGAAAAATGTTTTCAGTTCATTTTTTGATACAATAAAGTTGCTGTTTTTATCGTAACGAGTTTCCCTAATGGTTAGGGTGATCCTTTAATCAAGACAAAAGAACACGATAACACGAAACAATGTACATACGCATAAATAGAAATTTTGCTGCCAAAGGTGTAATAATTCAAGAACACAATTAGGTAGGTATTAGTTTTAGTAAAAGCCATATCATCAGTTAGATATTTAAATAATGTAGCGACCGCGAGCGTGATTGTGTGCGATCGGGCATACGTGTGTGTGAGCGGCTTATCGATTCGCCGACTAGCCGCGGGAGCTTTTCTTCATGTGGGCCGTATCTGTAGACGTGTGTGTCGTACCTGCGTTCCGGGAAAGCAATTAAACCGTTCAAAGAAAACGAGACTTCTCTGGACGGCTGGAGAATGTTCCCGAAAGGAGGCAAGGGAGTATAAAAA